TGTAATAATGAATAAATGAGATAAATGGCACGACATCACCCTTCATGCTTTTACTCTCTTCCTCATCATATAATAATGAATAAATGAGATAAATGGCACGACATCACCCTTCCTGCTTTTACTCTCTTCCTCACCATGTAATAATGAATAAATGAGATAAATGGCACGACATCACCCTTCATGCTTTTACTCTCTTCCTCATCATATAATAATGAATAAATGAGATAAATGTCACGGCATCACCCTTCCTGCTTTTACTCTCTTCCTCACCATGTGATAATGAATAAATAATAAATGGAACAACATCACCCTTCGTGCTTTTACTCTCTTCCTCACCATGTAATAATGAATAAATGAGATAGATGGCATGGCATCACCCTTCGTGCTTTTACTCTCTTCCTCACCATATAATAATGAATAAATGAGATAAATAGCACGACATCACCCTTCGTGCTTTTACTCTCTTCCTCACCATGTGATAATGAATAAATGAAATAAATGGCACGGCATCACCCTCCGTGCTTTTACTCTCTTCCTCACCATGTGATAATGAATAAATGAGTTCAAGAAGTAAATAATGTGGAGAATATATTTAGCATCAAATATGGTGCCGAGATACCGAGCTTCAACTTCCAAAAATATTCAACAACTATGGAATAAGCAATAATTATTAAATGAATAATCAAAGAAGTGATAACCTAACCTAAGAATGGATATCGTAAGTAACGATGCAATAAAATACAAATAAACAAGTTCCAACCGCATGCTTTAACCCAATTACAACATATAAGTAATCGTCACCTCACATATATGTTGTTCCCACACACAAAACACGTAGAAAATACACTACCAAGTCCTAATTCCTCAAGTCAAGGTTAACCATGACTCTTACCTCGCTCCGCAATCAAATCAAAGCTCAATCGGGGCCTTTCTTCTAAAATTCGCCTCCAAACCAATCGAATCTAACCAAATATAGTTCAAACAATTCAAAATAAGATTTAGAAACTATCCATGAGTGAAAAAGATTCAATCTTTAATAATTTAGGAAAAAGTCAACTCCGGGCTCGCTTGATCAAAACCCGAGATTCGGACTAAAATCCAATTACCAATTCACCCCCGAGCCCGATTATGTGATTAGTTTCAAAATCCGACCTCAATTTTAAGTGTAGATCTCAATTTCTCTTAATCCCCAATTTCTACCTAAATCCCTAATTTCTACCATGAACAAGTATAGATTAAAGGCTAGAAATCAAAGGGTGTTGATGGAAATGGAAGAAAACGAGTTAAACTCTACTAACTTATGAAGTAGGGATGAAATTCCTCTTCAAAATCGCCTCTAGGCCGAGCTCAAATATGGAGATAGTAAAAAATGAAGAAAATCCCTAGTTTGGGATATTTAATTGACTGGGTGTCAGGCCTTCTTCGCGTTCGCCAAGGGCCTGACGCGATCGCGAAGTGTAGTGGCCAAATTATCCTTCGTGTTCGCGAGGGACCTCACGCGTTCACGATGGTCTGTCCCCCTGACCATCACGTTCGCGAGCCTAGGCTCGCGTTCGCGTAGGACAAGCCCTAGCCTTCCCCCAGAATCCTTTACTCATCGCGTTCGTGAGTGAAGAGTCGCGTTCGCAAGGGTGATACCTCCAATGCTACGCGTTCGCGAGCCCTTCTCTGCATTCGCGAAGAAAAAAACCTCCCTAGTACCAAGTTACCCTTCGCAATCGCGAGAGTAGCTTCGCGATCGCGAAGAACAACGCACCAAATATCATAAACAGTGAAAAACCAACAATCCTTCTAAGTCCGAAATGGTCCATAGCTTATCCGAAACTCATCAGAACCCCTAGGGCTCCAAACCAAACATGCACATAGTCAACCTACGGTCATAAATAGTGGTATGAACCTATTCCAAGTTCTAGAACCAAAATCTGAACCCGGCAGCAACAAAGTCAACCTACGGTCAAACTTAGAAATTCTTTAAACCTTTAAATTACTAGTTTTCAACAAATCACATTAAATTAAGTTAGGGACTTCGGCATTCAATTTCGGGCATACACTCAAGTCCCAAACCATGATACAGACTCACTGGAACCGTCAAAATACTAATTCGAGTCTGTTTACATAAAATATTGACCGTAGTCAACTCAAATCATTTTTAAGATTAAAATTCACATTTTCTTTCATTTTTCACATAACCTTTTTCTGAAATAAAAAGACAAGGACTGCAAATCAAGGAATTCTAAACAGAGCTATTCAAAGTCTCAGAATATAGAAATGAATGTTAAAACTCAAAATAACCTATCATGTCATCACACCCCTTCTATTTAACTATTATCTAACTAATCTTAACGTACGTGTATTGCACATCTACCTTATTTCGATGGGTATTTATTTTTTAAATTACATAAATTTTATACTAAAAGTTATGTTTGAGTTATAAAATGAGAGCTTGAGTATCTTAAAGTGACGAATAAAATGAAAATTTTAATTAGAATGATTTGTTAGTGTCAATAATTTTGATAATAACAAAAAAACTCAAAATTGTATTTACAAAATAAGATGGAAAGAGAATAAAAGCTTTTAAAGGATAAATTTGATACATGTAATACAAAAAAAAAATATTTAAAATAAAATATATTTATAATACATATTATATATGCTTGAAAACTTTGTTCAATTATTTTGTTCCAATATTATATATGTCCGAGATCTATTTTTTCTATTTTACTTTATAAATAAAATTTATTTATTTTATAGGTAAGTCCATAATATAGAGTAAAGAGAGAAAAAAAGTATAACATTAAAGCAAATAAAGGTTGATAATTTAGAAGGTAAAATAGTATTTGGCTACCGAAAGTTTGACAAATCTAGTTGAATGACCTTCTGAGTGCAATAGAAATAGTTAAGTGATATTTCTATTACAAACAAATAAGCATAACGTTATAGGTAATTTCAAACAGTTGAGAGATCATTTGAGTGATGCTTGTGTATGTGGGAGAGAATGTAACGACCCGACCAGTCATTTTGAGATCTAGCGCGTTGTTCAGCAGTTTGAGGCATTGAATAGTTTCACTTCAGGTATTATGACTTGTACGTGTGGTCGAAATTGAATTTCAGGAAGTTTGGAGTTGACTTGGAAAGAAAATTCTAATTTCGGAAGCTTTAGTTAGGAAAACTTGTCTAAGGTTTGACTTTTGAATAAACGACTTCGGAATCGGTATTTGAAGGTTCCAATAGGTTCATACGATAATTTCGAACTTGGGTGTATGTTCGGGTTGAGTATCAAGTCGTCCGGGAGTATTTCGACGCTTATTGTAAAAAGTTAGCATTTTGAAGGTTTTAGAATTTCTTAAGTCTGGTTTGAGGTGGACTTTGGTGATATCGATGTTTGTTTGGGGGTTTCGGGTCTTGGAATAGGTTTGTATCATGATTTGTGACTTGCACGCAAAATTTGGCGTCATTCCGGAATATTTAAGTATAATTCGGATGCGTTTGTCGAAGTTTGAATGGTTGAAAGTTTAAAGAAAGGTTTCGACCATTGATTCATAGTTTTGATGTTGTTGGTGTGATTTGAGGCCTCGAGCAGATTCGTTTCATGTTTTATGACTGGTTGGTATGATTGGACAGGGTCTCGGGTGCCTCGGGTGTGTTTCGAGGTAGTTTCAGACCAAGTTTGGCTAAGTTGATGTAGCTAGTTTGTTGGTGCAGGTGTTGTTTTCGAACATGAAGGGTCTCACACGTTTGCAAAGAAGGAATTTTGGATTGTGCCCTTTTGTTATATGCATTTGCGATTGTGCAGACGCGTTCGCAAAGGGCAAGCTGGAAAAGTTTCGCGTTCGCGGGCCCTGTCTCGCGTTCGCGTAGAGGAACTGGGGGCTAAAGCAGATTGTGCTTCGCGAACGCGAGGGATTTGCCTCATTCGCGAAGAAGCATTTCCGGGCCTGAGTTTGTTTAGCTTCGCAAACGCGAGGGCAGTGACGCGTTCGCGATGAAGGTCGCCTCGGTAGTGTATAAGTTTGCAAAAACGGGTTTTGGCTCATTTTATCTCAAATCTTCCATGGGTGCCGAGCTTTGGGCGATTTTGGGGGAGCTTCTTTGTCACCCATCACTAGGTAAGTGATTGCTTCACATTGTGAGTTAAATACATGAGTTATATACGGATTTATACATGAAAATTTATGAAAACTATGGGATTTTGAAAGAAATCTAGAAATTGGTTATTTTGAATTTTTACCACGAAATTGAATATGGAATTAGGAATAAATTATATATTTGAGTTCGTAATGTTATGGGTAAAGTTTATATTCAAATATTTTTGGAATTCGGGCACGTGGGCCTGAGGGTTGACTTTATTGACTTTTCAGCGGAGTTGGGAAGTGTTATAAATTAATTAATTATGATTTTGGAATTTTTTTTATTGGCTTCCGTGATTGTTTGGCTATTTTCGGAACGTATGGCTTAGAGTTGAGTGTTAGAGTGGAGTTGGAGTCGATTATGGAACTTCGGAGTGAGGTAAGTCTCATGTCTATTAGTTGTTATATGCTATTAGTTGTGGTTGCTATGTACGCACGAGGTGACGAGAGTCTGTACGTAGCTAAAGCATGTTTATGTCCGGGTAGACTTAGGACTCTACCATGTAATATTTGGAATATTTGAATTCCTTTTCCTTGCTTAATTAATTGAAATTATAATTGAGCTTGATTTAGAGAGTGTTTGGATTGGTTTAAAAGCTGGTCAAATTAGCTTTTAAGCACTTTTTTATTTTCTGGAGTGTTTAGCAAAAACAAAGCTGCTTAAAAAAGGCTAAAAAGTGCTTTAAAAAAGCTAAAAGCAACAAGTTGGCTGAGCCCAACTTCTCCGATTTTGGCTTAAAAGTCATTTTATTTTGACCAATAAAATTACTTTCTCGTCCATTATAAGTTTTCATAATATCAAAATTACCCTTAGTCAAAGAAACCCTAAAACATCATACTTCTCCTATTTCCTTCACTTTTGAAGGCAGCTGGTCCTCTTCTTTCCTCTTTCTCTATGCTTCATCTTCATTTTTCTGCACTTTTCCTCAAGCATTTCAGTGGAAATCAATCCTCGTTGTAAGTTCTTCTTAATCTTTATTGTAATCGTGATAATTTATTGATATTACGACGTCATTCTCGCCATTCTCGTCTAATTTTGTAAGACAGTTGTTTCTGACTTTGGTTTGTTTCTTGTATCTTTCCTTTGAATTATTCCTTCAAGTCTTCATTTCTAAGCCCTGTTTTTAGTGATTTTAGTTATAGTGATAATAGTACCCTCATTTATTGGCCATTCTCTTCTTCTAGTATTGTTAGTACTACTAGTGTTAGTTTTAGTTCTAAGGCTTCTCACCATTTTTTAGTAGTGAATGGAACAATTGAAGGAAGCATACATGAAGGGAACTTGTCTTAAATTGTGAAAAATGAAAATCTTAGTGTTGAAGAATCAAGGATTACCAAGAAATTTTTTGAATTAAATGGTTCTCAAGTTGATGGAACTATGTTTCCACTGAAATCAATCTAAGAGCTACTAAAATGAAAATTATCCTAAAATTGCCCTAATGAGAAAATTAGTAGTATTAGAATGAAATTCACTTTAAATAGAGCCTACTGGATATATTGGATATTTCATTAGTCACTCCAACTAATGAGGAAGTTTCTTCTATTTTAATTAGATATTTGTTTGTCCTTTCTTCAGATTATTTACATTCAATCATGATGGAGAGTTATACTAATTGGGACGATGAGGTTCATATTACATTTATTGAGTTGAGTGAGCAAGAGATTAGAAAGGAAAATAGACCAAACATTTACTTATCTAAAGATGGGTGAAAAAATATAATTGATCAGTTCGAAAAGAAGACGTGAAGAGTGTATAATAAAAAATAATTAAAAACCCATTGGGCTTACATGAAAGCAGAATAGACACTTTTTAAGTAGTTGATGAGAGGAGGGACAAGTTTAGGATGGGATGCTATAAAAAATATAATTATAGCGGATGATGATTGGTGGGAGCGAAAAATTAAGGCACATCTCTCATATGTCTAGCAAAAGCACGGCTACATCTCCTGCAGTTGATGAGACATCCATCGAGAAGTGTATTGGTACGTTGGAACAAATTCCTAATATTCTAACAGGGAGTGAAATTTACAGTTTCACTATGAATATATTCCACAAGAAAAATAACCGACATATATTTTTGGGGATGCCTACCGATGAAGCTCGCAAGTCTTGGTTGGAGTAACTATCAGTTATACCTGAAGAAAAATGGATAATGCATTGTTGTGATGAATATTTTTATTATTCCGTATTCGAATATTGTGATTGTATGTGTAAACTTTATTATGGTTTTATGTGTAAACTTCATTTATTGCTTCTTGTTTAGACGTTGTGGTTGTATCGCTAAACCTTTGTTAAATTAAAGCTTCTGTTTGTTGAGCTTCTATTGTTAAGCTTCAGTTAAGCTTACAATTGTTAAGGTTCAGTTAACTTTTATATTGGTTGCTTTAGTTAACATCATGGCTATCTCTTATTATGATGTGTATAGCCACAGAGAATGTTTCAGTTAACTTCAATTAGCTTTTAGTTAGCATCACTTTATGTTTGTAAAGCTTCATTTAATGTTATGTTTAGAAAGCTTGAGTTAACTTTATGTTTCCATTTTCAGTTAAATGGAGAGTTCGAACTTTAGCGACTTGGTAAATCCTTATCCAAGTTATTTGTCAGATGATGAAGATGAAGAAGAACCGGAGGAAATACGGAGGGAGCAAGATGAGAAGAAATGGAAGGCTTTATGTCAAATAGCAGGTAAATTGATTTTGATGTATTACAAAAATTAACTACGCAAGGAACCTTGTCATACATCTAGTCGCTCTCGAAATGTATTTATTCAAGAGATATTAAGAGGAAACGAGACTCATTGTTATGAAAATTTTTGATTGAGGAAGTCGGTGTTTGTTGTTCTAACGAATGACTTAATTGAAAATTATGGGCTTAAACCCACACGCGGAATGTTTATACACGAGATGTTAGGCATGATCTTGATGACTTGTGCACATGGAGCTGGAAATCGATTGATATAGGAAATCTTTTAACATTCGGGAGAAACAATTCATAAACACTTTCATAGTGTTTTAAAGGCCATTTATGAGCTTGCCAAAGATATTATAAGACCACATCTAAATTATAATGATGGTGCAGGAGCTCACAAGCCATGTAACGGTCGATATCTCCCTTCCTTTAAAGTGAGTAATAATTTTACATAATTATTTTTTAAACTTATAACTTAACTTTTATAAGTATTATTAACTTAAGTTATATTTATACTTGTATATGTATATAGGATTGTATTGGAGCACTTGATGGCACACATGTTAAAGTAAGATTATCGCAAGGTCAAGAGATACCATATATTTGACGTAACGGTTATCCGACTCAAAATATTCTTGTTGTCGTAGATTTTAATATGAGTTTTACATTTGCATGGGCTGGGTGGGAAGAAGCAGCTCACGATAGTCGTATATTTTGTGAGGCCCTTCGTAGACCAGAACTCAACTTTCCACGTTCAATTGGAAATAAGTATTATCTAGTTGATGCAGGATCTCCGCACATGAAGAGATACATGGCTCCATACAAAGGAGATAATGTGAGATACCACCTAGTACAATTCCACCATGGTGCAACAAGAGAATTGCGAGAACCAAGAGGACGAATTAAAAATTTTAACTATTTGCATTCTTCTTGTAGAAATATTGTAGCGCACATTTGGAGTTTGGAAAGCAAGATGGTCTATTTTGCGAGACATGCCTTTCTATCGCACTTGCTACTATGGCCATTCATAACTATATTAGAAAGAAATGTAATATGAATGATGCATTCCGAGCAGCTGAGAATGAGAGATATATTCCATTTGTTGATCCTGATGTTGGTACATCTTCGAGAACTAATAATAATATAAACGTGGAAGAGCAAAGTGATCTCGTTTGGATGGGTCTTCATGATTTGGTTGCTAATAAAATTTGTGAAGCTTGATACTTGTAATAGTAAAGTAAAAATAGTAGTTGGTTATGACCAGCAACACGCCTTCAAAGGTTATTTTGTTTAGACATTTGTTAAATTTATTGAAATATTTTTATTATTTTTGCATTTATTGTAAGGTGTATGATGCAAAAAGGCAATTCATATCCAAAAATAAGATTCTTTCAAGTTTCACAGCATTTTATTCTATCAGCAAACATAATATTACAATGAATTAAGGTTGCATACTTGATCAACTTCTACTGGCCTTCCAAAAACATAAGCTAATGCCACAATGAGCTTCCTTCTACTTTCAATTGATGTAAGTGCATCTTTAATCTCTCAAGAGTAAATGGACAATAAGGGAAAGAGGAATTCAACAAAATAATTTGGTATTTTAAATAGGTTGAGACTTTTATGGAAGTTTACTTGATTGAAAGTGGTGAACAATGAGTATTCATGAATTATATTTATAAAAATTATCTAAAGTAATCAATTAAATTAAAATTAAATTAAATTATAAATTATTTTTTTATTTGCATTAATTCAGAATTAAATATATTGTAGTAATCAACTTCTTTATAATGTTAACAACTTTAAGGATAATTTTGTCTTTTTAACAGAAAAAAGTGCTTACTAGCACTTGTTTACCAAACACTTCAACAATTCTTTTTAAGTTTCAGCACTTTTATCCAAACAGGTAACTGCTTATTTATAAAATAAGTTCCGGCACTTAAAAGCTGATTTTAAGCACTTGTGCTTAAAAGCCACTTTTTTAAGCCAATCTAAACGGGCTCTTAGAAATATATACATATATATTAGGCCGGACCTTATTACCTTAAGTCGTTGGCAAGTTATTTGAGAAACGGTAAATGTTATACTCACCTTGTGTTCATATATTGTATCGTAAGCTCGTGTCTCGTAATTCGATAATTTCTTACCTTTCTTGTGGATCGGGGTAAACGCCTCGGCAAGATTATGTACCACACTCTTATGGAAGCGGGTCGTTCGTCTTGGCAGTATAATAGATATATCTATGATTCGTGCAACTCGACCCTCGGCAGTGTACACGCTATGATGGGATCGGGCGGATCGCCTCGACAGTATCATATTCTTTCTGAGATCTGGCCGTACATCCTCGGCATAATTGTGCGTTATATCGCTAGCAATCCAAATATTCGTGAGATTTTTCTTCCACTGATGCCTCGCATTTTATATGAAAATTCTTATCTGTTTGTTATTGTCACTTGCTAATTTCGAGTTATCGAGATAGAATACGAGATTGAGAAATTGATATTATTAAAAAAAATTTTGGAAGATTACGTTAGTTATTGTCATGACCCAAAACCAACCTGTCGTTATGGTGTCTATCATGGTACTAGGCAAGCCGACTACGCAGACATTTCCAACACTCTAAACTTTGAAAGATACGGAAACAGCTAAAATTAAGGAAATATTTTTAAAACAAAGTAAGAAATCATAATTTAATACAAAATCTCTCCCAAAATTGGTGCGCCACCGAGTACATGAGCATCTACATTAAGATATAGTCTGATACATTGTCTAGGTAATAAAACTGAAACCTAAAATGAAAGATAAGGAGGGTGAGTCAAGGTCTGCGAACGCCCAACAACTACCTCAATAGTCTCCCAAAATTCGGACTCCACAACTCAGCAACCGCCGTGACCGAAAGCACCTGGATCTGCACATGAGGTGCAGGGTGTAGCATGAGTGCAACCAACTCAGTAAATAATAAGACTAATTAATAGACTGAAAATAGTGACGAACTTCACGGATATAGCTCAATTATAGAAATTTCAACATAGAATGATAGGCATGCTTTCAAATTCGACAATTAAGGCCAAAACAGTTAACTCATGTCACGTTCAATTGAAACGGGATATAATATCTCTCAGAAATTACTTGACAATGATATATGCCAACTGAAGTACAATAGTAATGAAATCAAGTGCAAAATCTCATAGTAACAGTCACGCAGTCCTCCCATGCACTCCAACCTCACGGTCACTCATTCCTCACAATATCTCATTCATCTCAATCGCTCGGCACTCAACACTCGCACTCAGTAGGTACCTACGCTCATTGGGGGATGTATACAGACTCCGAAGGGGCTCCTTCAGCCCAAGCGCTATAACAAGTCAATCATGGCATAAATCAATGAAACATGCTGCGGCGTGCAGTCCGATCCCATAAATATACCCACAATCAGGCCCTCGGCCTCACTCAGTCATTAACCTCTCCAGTCTCTCGGGCTCTCAGAAATCATGATAATCAACCCAAACAACAATGATATAGAGACTGAGATGTAATATGCAAGTAAAATTATGACTGAGTACAAAACAGCATTTTAGCAGTTAATTCAACATGTAAACGACCTCTGTGGGTCCCTACAGTGCCAACGTATAGTCTAAACATGATCTCTAACATGATTTGCCGTTTAATTTCTATAGCACATGGAAAATATATGGATAACAACAGATTTTTCAACTATTCAGCTCCATGGAATTGACCAAGTCATAATTCCTACGGTGCACGCCCACACGCATGTCACCTAGTATGTGCGTCACCTCAAAACCAAACACATGACACATAATACGAGGTTTCATACTCTCAGAACCAAATTTAGAACTGTTACTTAATTCAAACCGCGTAAATCTCTACTCCAACATGCCCTTGCCTCGCGAAACGGCCTTTGAATGCCTCGAATCTAGTCACAAACAATTCGATACAATCAACACGGGCTAAAGGAATCAATTCCATAAGAAAATACTAAGCTCTTAATCAAAAGTTAAAAAGTCAACTCAAAAGTCGGCCCCCAGGCCCACACCACGGAATCAGGTAATGTAATGACCTGGTCGGTTGTTTTGAGTATTATAACCTCATTTCTCTATTTACTACTCAATTTATGCTTTACAGTTATTTTATGACTTATCAGGTTAGTTGGTTCGGGTCCGAAAGAATTTCGGAGTGAAATGAGATACTTAGTCTCATAATTGAAAATTTAAGTTGGAAAAAGTTGACCGGATGTTGACTCATGTGTAAACGACCTCGGATTTGAATTTTGATGATTGCAATAGCTTCGTATGGTGATTTTGGATTTAGGAACGTGTCTGAAAAATTATTTGGAGGTCAGTAGTAGAATTAGGCTTGAAATGGCAAAAATCGAATTTTTGGAAAGTTTGACCGACTAAGTTCGTATGATGTTTTAGGACTTGTTGGTATATGTGGTTAAGGTCCCGGGGGCCTCGGGTAAGATTCGGGTGGCTAACGGATCATTTTGGACTTAGCATGTTGGTTGATGACTGCTGGTTTTTGTTGTTACTGGTTTCCTATTACACGTTCGCGAGAGATGCCTCGCGTTCGTTAAGGGTGTTTGTGGGCTGAAAAATTTTGTTCTTCGCGAAAAGCAAACGCTAAGGTTTGGACGGAGAAAGCATCACGTTCGCGGAGCAGTAGTCGCGTTCGCGGGGAGTGGGGTTTCAAAGCTTCGCGTTCGCGAAGCTGGGCTCGCGTTCGCGTAGAAGGGTGAAACAGACTTGGGCACCAGGCCCTAAGGCATCGCGTTCGCGGTCTGGTGGATGCATTCGCGTAGGCTAAGATACGCAAGGCATCGCGTTCGCGAGGTGGGGTTCGCGTAAGAGAATTTTCTGGACAGTCGAGTTTGTGCTTCACGAACACAAAACTCTTTCCGCGTTCGCGATGAAGGCATATTTGGGCAGAATTAAAAGTTCCAAAATGGGGGGTTTGAGTTCATAAAAAAAATCAAATTGGAAGCTCGGTAAAAGGCGATTTTTGGAGAGATTTTTGCATGGGTGTTTGGGGTAAGTGATTCTTATCTAGTTTTGGTTAATTTCCATGATTATGCCTTTGAATCCATCATTGAATGGGTGAATTAAGTTGAAATATTTAAAAAACCTTCTTGGTTTAATTTGAATATTTGAGGGTCGAGTTGAGGTCGGATTTTGGTAGAATTGGTATGGTTAGACTCGTGGTTGAATGGGCTTTCGGATTTTGTAACTTTTGTCGGGTTCCGAGATGTGGGCTCCACGAGTGATATTTGAGTTAAAATCTCAGATTTTATTGGAAAATTAGTATTTTCTTATGGAACTAATTTAAATAATTTGTATTGACTGAATCAAATTAATTTTGACTAGATACGAGGCTTTCGGAGACCAATTCACGAGGCAAGGGCGTAGCGGAGTAAGAAATTACACAATTTGAGGTAAGTAACACTTCTAAACTTGGTTCTGAGGGTATGAATCCCCGAATTTGTGTGATATAAATTGTTTGGAGGTGGCGCACATGATAGTTGACGAGCGTGTGGATGTGCACCATTGAGATTGTGACTTGAATAAATTCTGTGAAGTCTTAAAAATTAAAGAATCATGTTATTATCTGGACATTTTCCACGTGTTAGAGAAATGGAGTTGAGGCTCTTATTAAAGATCATGATTAGGTTACGTGTCTATATTTTGGGATCCATGGGGTCGTGTTGCTGTTAAATGAATTGTTTTATAAAATAT